TTTTTGGCAGATTCAAGCCAAAGAAAAAGAAGCTCAGCAGAACAAAACATTAAATCAAGAATTTAACCACAAGATTCAAGACGTAGCCAAAGAGCTCAATTCAATTCAACTGAAACTGAAAGAGAAGACAAATGATATAACACAAGCTAAAAGAGATCAAAAAGTAAAATATTTTGTATAAAATCTAATTTTCCTTATTTAAGAATTCAGTGGAATCAAAACTATCTTTCATAAGATTAGCACATGACTTTTTTAATGAAATCTGACTGAAATATTGAGAATGTACTTCAGTTAAAAAGCAGGGAGACAGCAGTCTTCAGCATCACTGTGTCAAAAAGCTACAACTTTCTGAGGTGCCCTAGTATGAAATAGTTTTGATAACGATGGACTAATGTTACAGCAGATGCCTCATCACCTGTGGGAGCAGCTGAATGTGTAAAGTAGTACAGGTTGTTGTTGTTGTTCAGTCGTTAAGTCGTGTCTGAGGTAGTCCTCAGTTAATAATGGTAATTGGGACTGGGAATTCCGTTGCTAAGTGACGTGGTCGTAAAGTGCGGCATCATGTGAATGCACCAACTTACAATAGCAGTTCCAGCAGCTGTTGTTAGGCAAATCCCATGCAGTTGTTAGGCGCAACATCACATGATCACCGTTTGTGACCTTCTGCCAGCTTCCCCATTGATTTTGCTTGTCAGAAGCCAGCAGCGAAGGTCACAAATGGCGATCAAATGACCATGGGATGCTGCAAAGTTGTAATTGCGAGCCGGTTGCCAAGCATCTTTGCATTCTTGGAAGCCATAAATGGACTTCAAGTGGCAATAGTACATCATGTTTTATCCCTTTGCCACATGTGATTTTTTAAAAAACTGAGCTACGTGACAAAATAGAAGTCATGAAAAAATGTAAAAGTAACATGAAGTCTGAAAAGAAATAGCTCTTTACAAGTTTCCTTATAACTAAAACATTCTCCTCTACTGCAGATCCTGGATGAAGAACTGGACAGCTGTAACATAAAGCTTCTGGAACTTGATGCAGCTGTCCAGAGCTTTGCAGAGCAAAACCCTCAGCTAGTTAAACAGCTGGCTGGCAAAATTAATAAACTAACAGCATTCCACCAACAGATAGTTAGGGAAGCTGAATACAGGGCATCAAAGCTCAATCAGGTATGGCATTGTATTGGTTTGGTATGTTCTTAAGTTTATCGTTAAGAATATGTTCTGTTAAGTAGAGCAAAGTCTTTGTGTAGACCTTCAGTTCCATAAATCATACACCATGCTGTTGTTACAGAGTTCAGCTTCCCGATGTCTACTTTTATTTTCTTTCTCCTTTTTTAAAAAAGCCAGTCCTTAACTATTGAAAATATGTGGCCACTATATCTGAGTTATCAGAAATTACTATTATTGTTGTTGTTGGTCGCACAGTTGGCCAGATGTTTAGACTGGATTTGACATTTTTCTCCACCTGTCGAGTCCTTCCCAAGGACTTTGGATAGGCAGATTATTTCCTTTCCAGTAGCTGAAATTGAGATCTTGAGCTCCCACATGGTCCCTCAACAAGAGTAACAGAATCAGAATACAAAACACATTATAAAAAGACAGAAATTACAGAAATGTGATTAGTTTGAAGTTCTTATTTATTTAATAGAGTTATATCTTACCTTTTCTATAGGAGCTCATGGCTATTTCTTACATGTATTATAGAATGCCTTTTCTTGGAATAAAGGTGCATTTACTTCATTTATAAAAACTGTAAATTTCTCTTCATCTCTTTTTCCCCACAAAGTTGTCTTAGCCAGAAAATATTCTTCCTGCTATTTCATAATACTGAATAAAAGCCTGTTTTAATTAGTTATACTGTTGACCATGAATTCAAGCTACAATTAATTAATAAGATATTAGTGCGTGTTAAATCTATTGAGTTAGCAATATGCTAGTTTATTACACTGTGGTAAAGAACAATACATAATATAATATAAAAACACATTTGGGTGAAAAGTACTTTCTCTTTTCAGCAGAAGGAAAACCATTGCCACAGCTATTTACAATGTGGGGAGCAAAAGAAGGACATATGCACATTCTTGAATGCATTTACACAAGAATACGTTCACCCACAAATGTTGATGTTTTGTGTACCCCAGATATGAACACTTAAAGCATAATTGTGTAAAACACATGGATAACATGCATATGTTCAATGCATTAATATTAATGTAAATGGCTTAGTAGAATTATAATGTTCTATTTGAGAAATGTAAATGTAAACAACTGAGTGAGTGACATACTAAGACATAAGTCCTGTATACAGTGATGCTTCAAATGTATTGAAATTTTCTTGTTTTATTGCAGGCTGTTTCTCATTTAGATGAATATAATGAAATGCTAGAATTCATACTAAAATGGATTGAAAAAGCTAAGATTTTATTACATGGTAACATCATGTGGAATTCTGCTGCTATACTTCGAGATCAGTTTATGTCTCATCAGGTAATAACCCCCCCTTTTTTTTTAATAATAGCAGTAAACACAAGAACTGCTGCATCAAAGATGCTATAAGCAAAAGTTTCTAATCCCAAACTTTAGTACCTTTACTCTACCTTTTAATGCAAATAAGATTCACTTTGTTTGGCACTGATGTATTGGTGAGGTTTCTGTCCTAGCTTAGATGTTCATGTAAAATGGTTTGGCTTTCTTGAGTTACAGACCATTAATGTGGATTTTTTTATGCCTTGGAAATGTATTTATATTCATTCATTCATTCATTCATTCATTCATTCATTCATTCATTCATTCATTCATTCATTCATTCATTCATTCATTCATTCATTCATTCATTCATTCATTCATTCATTCATTCATTCATTCATTCATTCATTCATTCATTCATTCATTCATTCATTCATTCATTCATTCATTCATTCATTCATTCATTCATTCATTCATTCATTCATTCATTCATTCATTCATTCATCACATTTATATAGCTGCCCATCTCACGAAAAAGTGACTCTGGGTAGCATATAATAAAAAGTATAAAATAGTAATACTGTATAAAAAAGCAATTATTATCCATGAAAATTTTAAAAATCGTGATTAAAGGCTAAGAGAGGGCAGCAGATGTCAACAACAATGGAGCCACCTCAGTACCTTGCCGGTTCTCTGAGGCCCTAAGGCCTAATGGCATAATCAGGTTTTGAGGAACTTTCGGAAAATCAATAGGGATGAAGCCAACCTCACTTCGGGGGGGTGGGGGGAGGATGTTCCATAAGGCAGGCGCCATGGCAGAAAAGCCCCATGTCCTGGATCCTGCCAAGTGTAGCTCCCAAGCAGACAAGACCTGTAGCATACCTCTTACGCTGGATATGATGGGACAGGCAGATGTGATTGGGGAGAGGCAGTCCCTCAAATAACCTGGCCCCATGCCATGAAGGGCTTTAAAGGTCAAAACCCTTTTGAGGTGCCTGTGCTACGCAATTTTGCACCAGCTGAAGCTTACATATACGTATACTCTTCAAGGGCAGCCCCATGTAGAGTATTACAGTAGTCCAATTGGGAGATGACTAGGGAATGAGTGATTGGGAGCAGAGCTCCCAAAGCTGTGGAGAGGCCCTCCTAGCCACAACAGCCACCTGCACTTCAAGCAGGAGTTGTGAGTCCAGGAGGACCCCCAAGTTGCACACCAAATCTGTTTGCGGCAGTGCAACCCCATATATTGGATAGATCTTGGAAATTGTCTCCAAGCTCTAACCAGAATACTTTAGTAAAGACATGAGGCTTATCCACCTCCCAAATCATACGTTCAAGCCATTCTTAATGTTGTTTCTCTTCTGAAGACTGGGTGATTGGGCTCCTTCTACAAGTTGATCAGCCATAAGAAAAGTGAGATACCGTATTTTTCCGACTATAAGACGATACTTTTTTCTAAAATCCTTACCCTAAAAAT